AGAGAGAGAGAGCTCTGGGCTACCCGGGGAGCAAAGGATAAACATTGAAGCATAAAAATGCACAATCTTACTCCAGGTTTGCCTGTAAACGCGCTGTCCAAATATCTTTGTTTGCGAATGGAAAGCGTGCGAGCAACTCACATTGTGGTGAAAGCGAAGTGGCAAATCAAATGACGCCAATTCTTTAAATTCATCTCTCAAATATGCCATTTGCATTTTGTAGAATTATGATAATAGGAATATATAACTTCGGTATGTGTCTGGAATAGGTATTATATGGAACGTGTCTTTTTTTTTTGGTGGTGGTGGTGGTGTGGTGATGGGGGAGGGGGGGGGGAGGGTGGGGGGGGATGGGGGAACTTCTTTCAAAATTGGCTTATTTCTTCCACTACTTTCCCATCATATAAATAAGACGGTGCATTGTGTCCTGTTTCTCAGCAATCTGTACAGAGGTCCCTGCCAGATTTCTAATGACTTTTCAATGATGATTTAAGGAGGATTTGAGATGCCTTCTCGGGTCCTAAATGCGTCCATCAGCCGCTGTTCAGCCGCTCTGTGTCACCGACAGCCCCATTCACACACATTCACTTTTGTTCCCTTTCCGCTTCGTCGGTCGCATTGACCGGGATCCTCATGTCAGGATTGTGGTCAGGTCACCACATCAGTTTGTTTCAGAGAACTTTCTCTCACTTTTATTCTCAGATTTCATACAATAAATGTACGATTTAAAAAAAAAAATCGAATCAATCCCCTCTGGTGCTGATGGCAATTTGGAAATCCACTCACTGTTCTTTTAGTCCGACGAGGTGGCCTTTATTTATACGCTTTTATGGGGGGGGGGGGAGGTGTGGGGTGGTGGGGGTGGGAGGGTGAGGTGTGGGGTGGGGGGGAGGTGTGGGGTGGTGGGGGTGGGGGGTGAGGTGTGGGGTGGGGGTGGGGGGGTGAGGTGTGGGGTGGGGGGTGAGGTGTGGGGTGGGGGGTGAGGTGTGGGGTGGGGGGGTGAGGTGTGGGGTGGGGTGGGGAGGTGTGGGGTGGGGGGGGGGGGGGGGGGAGGTGTGGGGTGGGGGGGGAGGTGTGGGGTGGGGGGGGAGGGGGGTGGGGGGGGGGGGGTGGGGAGGTGTGGGGTGGGGTGGGGAGGTGTGGGGTGGGGTGGGGAGGTGTGGGGTGGGGTGGGGTGGGGAGGTGGGGTGGGGGGGGAGGTGTGGGTGGGGGGGGAGGTGTGGGGTGGGGGGGGAGGTGTGGGGTGGGGGGGGAGGTGTGGGGGGGGGGGAGGTGTGGGGTGGGGGGAGGTGTGGGTGGGGGGGGGTGTGGGGGGGGGAGGTGTGGGGGTGGGGAGGTGTGGGTGGGGGGGAGGTGTGGGGTGGGGGGGGAGGTGTGGGGGGGGGGGGGGGGGGGGGGAGGTGTGGGGGGGAGTGGGGGGGGGGGGGGTGGGGGTGGAGGTTGCTACTGTTTACCGAAGGGAAGATCTGGGAGGAAGTTTTGTATTTCAGTACAGATTCCAGTCTTGTTCATTTCAGTGGAATGACGAACGAAGACTGAAGTTTCTGTTGTGCATAATTTTTTTTCAATAAATATTCTGTTTAAAAATGCGATTGGAACAACAAGCAATATTTTGTGAAAATGAAAGTGCAGAATTATAAGGGACTGTGAAAGGTCTGTTTGCTTTGAAATGTTTAACAGAGGAAGAATCTTGGAATGTATATATCCCTGTCTTAATAACATTGTTGCTATTTTAATATATTTATCTTCCCAGTGAGCATCGCCAGAGGGGCCGCTTAATGGAAAATAATATATTTTCTGGCTTGGACCTCCCAGATCCCAGTTTTTTTTTGTTTAATGGAGCGAAGAATAATACATCAGTGAAAAGTAAATCCAAGATCGAGCCTGCAGCACCCTGGGGAGACTGTCACTCTGTGGGCCTTTGGAAGATCGTATCATTCAATATCTCTGAGCTGGAAAAGAAACATTTTTTTCTTAAAAACACAAATGGAATATTTATTTTGTGAGACCCGATGCAAAAGTAAAGTGATGGTAGATTTCACTTGGGTCATTTGGAGGCAGTTTGGAGATTAACTCACTGTGAATCTTACTGTACGGGAACTTTGTGTAAGAAGTTAAACAATAAGCAAGAAATAAAAAAAAAGTCATCACAGTACCCAGATCACGGAAATACTGAATTGTTTATAAACAATCTGCGTTACGAGAACTTCATTGTTTGTTCCTGGAACCTATATCTTGGTTTGCTTCACACAAAAAGGACTCATTTAAATAAATAGCTGTATACAGCTTAGGTGGGGGGGGGGGGGGGGGGTTGGGGAATAACCCGATTAGTTTAACAAATCCTTGGTGCATTTTTTTATTTTTGCTTTATATCAGTAATTAGATTTTGTCAGGTTGACCTGCAATTATAAACTACTAAAGTTCTCCTTAAATCATCAGTGGAAGGAAACTGTTCCATCGCGTGAGTTTACTCCGAGCTTGCTGTCTGCACGCGTTTTGCACAATACCAGTATTAGACACAGTGCGATTAAATCCAACTTTTTGGCATCCAGCATTTGCTTTCCCGAAAAAAATAGGGCCATTGTGTGCGTGTATTTGCTCTCATGATTACTAGGCAGTTGTCTGCTAAGTTACTTGGAAAATGAGCTTTTTGAGGTGGCTACGCTCCTTTTGGTATGATAACTAGGCGATTTACCCTTTTGTTCGTCGGACAAGTGATTCGCGAAAGTTTTCTCTGCAGGGATTCGGGTGCCCGAGGTGCCTTTCACAATTCCGTCCACATAATCCTCGCTGCATCTCTGAGAAACTCAGCCACTTCCAACATCCCGACCTCGTTCCACTCGCGTGTCCTCACTCCAACTAATTGCTTTGAGACGCTTTGGAAAGCACCTAACGCTTTACATATTACCACGTTACATCCATATAAACGCTTTGCAATATGCTGACATATTGTCACACACACACACACACACACACGTATCAACATTTCTTATTCACAAGATAGTCCTGTCCCGTCAATGCATGTTTCTGCTCTGATAGAATGTAGTCGGTTTCAAGTGCAAAACCATTGCAGAGGATTGTGTCATTGGTTTTACTCCCACAGCTGCTTTTTTTTCTTCGAACTTTCTAACGTTGTTTTGTTAACTTACTAGAATATACTCAATCGTGTCTTTTTTATGACAAACTCTTTATTTGGTCGGTGAGTCGTGAGGGTTCACTGCTAACCATCTCAAAGAGCAAACACCAGGTTCTTCGGGGAGGGTTTTGTTCTTAAATCTTGAGTGCGTTAGGACTGATCATTGATGTGCAACCAATCCGTGGGAGACTGGAGCGCTCCGATGTATTTCTCGAGACAGATTATTGCGACGACATTTAAATATAGGTTTGAAATCAGATCGACGTGATCGAGATTTAAGTTATTGGATACACTGAGATGGAACATGCAGATATTTCAAGCGAATCTCTCAAAGCCTTTGGGGCAGATACCAAAGCCTGGATGTTCAGTGCTGCTGAATGGCACTACATATAGAGCAGCCCCCCAAATACTGTACCATCACACGACCTGCTTCCTAATTCTTTAACTCTTAAATGACAGATGGTTTCATTCCCTCCGGGTTGAACAATCCTCACCGCCTACTGATGTTTTGTTTCAATGAAACAGGGCCAAGTGTTACTGTGCAAGAAAGGTTCCAGTGGGAAAGAAAGTCTCAATATAGCCGTAACAGACATATCAGTAGGGGTGGATCACTAAATGTATTTTAATAACCAATGCAATTGTATTCAATTCAACACACATCATCGTTTAGTCAAAGGGTTATGGCAGTGTATTGTGTCTGTATAGAAACGCAGAATGGATACATGTGGCGATTCCTCATTATATTAAACTTAGCGCGAGTCCTCTGTGGAAATTGTCGAATATCCTTCCTTTTAGTTTGCAGCATTGAAATAAAACAGACATTGATGTCTCAAACGGGGTGCCCTGCCATGCTATTATACACATACTGCTAACGAGACTTTCATAAGCGATTGAAGTAATCTGACCATAGAAAGCTCGCTAAATCTGCTGGTGCTTAAACTAAATCCCATTGGAAACGTTTGTTCTTCACCTGCCAGTATTTTCAATGCAGACTTGCTCGGGCCAAAGAGATCAGCCAGAGCAGCGATATGCATGAAAAAATGACAACAAAGAAAAGTTTGCAAGGAAATTTCGCCTCGCTCACCGAGAGTAAATCTGCGCACAGCAAAGCCACAAGCTTAGGATACGAATCTGGCTGAAACATTTTCTTTTTTCAACCGCTCTCTCGTTTCAGCCGGATTCACACGCAGTGCAAGGTTTTAAAACGTGTTCCNTTTTTTAAATGCACCGAAATATCGAAGTGAGTAAACTGAAGGAAACGTGGCTCTCATCTCAGTGTAATGCAAATTTACGCACATCGAAACCCATCCTCGGAGGAGGAAGGAACCGGTTCAGTGGTGATGGCCCAGTTTATTAATCTGCGTATATATGAATTTCTCAGTCGTTTCTCACAATGATGAATGAATTAATGTGAACAGGCGGACTTTGTTTCCTGGAACAATGTTGGAATAAATCGACTTCAATAATCTCCCAAATCCTCTGCTTCTTCCCATTCGCAAACCATGATTGGCCGCCGAGGGGATGATTTACATACACTTGTCAATAAAAGTGCTGCGAGCGCGGAGAGCCCGAGAGACGCTTCGTGCGAGCGGAGGGTTTCTGCTGCACAGCTTCTCGCTTCTCAAACTGACCCTCGTGGGGCACTCCGCAGAGCGGAAAATAAAGCACATTCAGCAATTTCAGGGGGAAAAAAAATCCTTTATTTCAAACGAGAAATACCACCCACACCTCCTCCCCCCATCCCCTCCCCCCCCCCCCCCCCACACACACCACACTACACACACACACTACACACACACACTACACACACACCACACACACTACACACACACACCAGACACACACTACACACACTACACACCAGACACACACACACCAGACACACACACACGAGGATATTGAAGGTAGAGGATGCTGTACGGAAGCCCCCCCCCCCGGGTGTGTGCTCCTGCCCCGCTGCCCCGCTCCGGGCTCCGCTCCCTGTTGCTGCTCCTGTCCGTCGTGTCCGCCGCCGACGGCAAAACCTTCAGGTACTCGATCTACGAGGAGGAGGTCCCGGGCACTGTGATCGGAAACTTGGCCGAAGACGCGCAGATAACCGCAGCCGATGATGATCTGCGGAGCAGTTTCCGACCGATGCAGAAGCTCAACGCGTCTTTGATCCAAGTGGGAGAGAGTGCGGGCGACCTGACCATCGGGGGCCGTATCGACCGGGAGCAGATCTGTCGGGACACGTCGCCCTGTCTGATCGCTTTCGATGTGGTCAACTTTTCCAGAGAGACCTTTAAACTGCTCCACGTGGAGGTCGAGGTCAGAGACATCAACGACAACGCGCCCGAGTTCCCCAACTCCGAGATGTCGGTGCAGATCTCCGAGAGCTCAGCGCTCGGGACCCGAATCCCTCTCGAGGTCGCGGTCGACGCCGATGTCGGCGACAATTATCTGCAAAACTACGCCATTTCTGCCAACAGCCACTTCAGCCTCGAGATGCAAACCCGGAGCGATGGCGTCAAGTGCGCCGACCTGGTGCTGGTCCAAGCCCTCGACCGGGAAAGTCAGGCTCACCTGACACTAGAGCTGTCCGCACAGGACGGGGGCCATCCCCCTGAGGTGGGAAGAGCTAAGGTCCAGGTCGAGGTTCTGGACTGGAACGACAACAGCCCCGAGTTTGTGCAGAAGTCCTTCCTGGTGGAGCTCCATGAAGATGCTCCGGTGGGTTTCCTGCTGCTGCACCTGGAGGCCGTGGACCCTGACCAGGGGCTGAACGGACAGGTGGTCTATGGCTTCAGCCCTCACCTCTCGCCTGAGGTTCGACAACTCTTTCGAGTCGATGCCAAGTCTGGCCGTTTGACCCTGGAGGGGGCCGTCGACTACGAAAGCAGAAAAACGTACGAGTTGGATGTTCAAGGTCGCGATCTGGGTCCCAACTCCATCCCCGCCAACTGCAAGGTCACCGTCAACATCCTGGACGTGAACGACAACGCCCCGGAGATCGCCATCACCCCCATGACCTCCGTCAGCTCCGGAGTCGCCTACATCACCGAGGCCGCCGCCAAAGACAGCTTCGTGGCTCTGATCGGCACCTCGGACAGCGACTCGGGCTCCAACGGCCAAGTGTCTTGTACTCTGTACGGACACGATCACTTCAAGCTGCAGCAAGCGTATGCCGACAGCTACATGATCGTCACCACGGCGGCTCTGGACCGCGAGAGGATCGGGGAATATAACCTGACTGTGGTGGCCGAGGACCTGGGCTCCCCTCCCTACAAGAGCATCAGGCAGTACACCATCCGCCTGAGCGACGTGAACGACAACGCCCCCTCTTTCTCCAAAGCCATCTACCAAGTGTCCGTCCTGGAGAACAACGCGCCGGGGGCTTACATCACCACCGTGGTGGCCCGCGATCCCGATCTGGGTGCCAACGGGCAGGTCGGGTACCGTCTGGTGGACACGCAGGTCCTGGGGACCCCCGTCTCCGCTCTGGTGTCTGTGGACCCGACCACTGGGGCCATCTATGCGCTGCGCTCGCTGGACCGGGAGCGGCTGGAGGAGTTGGAGCTGCGGATGGAGGCGAGTGACGGCGGCTCCCCACAGCTCAGCAGTTCAGCGCTCATCCAGCTGAGGGTCGCCGATCAGAACGATAACGCTCCTGTCGTCACCCACCCCGTCCCTAGCAACCGCTCTGCGACAGTGCTGCTGCCTAGCAACGCACCATCCGGTTACCTGGCAACACGCATCCGCGCTCGGGACGCTGACGAGGGGCTGAATTCTCAGCTGACGTACGGACTCCTGCGGGGGGAGCCCCCGGGGCTCTTCACTGCCAACAGCGTGACCGGGGAGATCTTCCTCAACAGACTCCTCAGCAAAGACAGGCCGCCCGCCCTCAAGATCATCGTGGCTGTTCACGACAACGGCCGACCATCGCTGTCCTCCACAGTCACCGTCAGCTTCGTGGTGAGGCCACCAGCACCTCCCGGCAGCCAAGAGCTCGTCATCCGCAGCTCTGCCCAAACACAGCGGCCCTGGGACCTCTCCTCCATCATCATCACGGTCCTGGCGGGCAGCTGCACGTTGCTCCTCGTGGCTATCGTCGCCATCGCCACCACGTGCAATAAAAGCAAGGAACCGAAGCTCAAGCGGGCCCGGGGTCAGGACATCTCTCAGCTGGAGAGGGGCAGACGCCCAGAGTGCGGCTTGATCCCGAGCCACAAGGGCGGCAAGTTCCAAGCAGTTGACGTCCAGCAGTATTCCAGCGCCGCTTCCTTGTGCGGCTTGAACGCCGGCGACAGCGGTGGATCGCCCAACTCGGAGCACGGCAGCAGCCAGTTGTGTCGCTTCGTGGTGGATAAGCTCAGAGGAACGGACCCTGAGGTAGGAATGGTTTGAATCATTACTGCGATTAACCCGGGCCACAGCGGGTGGACCATGATACACGTAAACGTGGGGGTAGTTTAATGCATATGAGGGCGGTAATCATGTGTTTGACGGTGGTAACATTGGGGCTTATTTCTCTGATTTGTTTTCTGTTCGTTTTTTCAGCTTTTTCCTCCTGTCTCGGGCTTTGGTCACCAAGCCCTCCACCCAGTCACAATCTGGAAAGGCAAATCATTTACTTTAAACAAAAGGTAAGCACTTGCACAGATAAGTCAAATAGACGCTTGCAAACAATAATAACACGTTGCATTTATACAGCACATTTCATGCCAGGAAGATGTCCCCAAGGGTTTTGGACAGGCAACGATTTGCACCCAAACTGGGGATTAAATTCAAGATGGATGGTGAATTCAATTGGGACCAAGGTGGTGGGGGTAGTGTTTGGAAGATGACCAAAGTCTCAGTCAAAGATATTGTGTCCATTGTATTGAAAATGTATAGTTATATTTAATGTTTATGTTTACTAAAGATATTGAGTCCATTTTATTTGATTGACAGGTGATTTGAATTGTGCACTCAATTCTGTGCTTCCCTTTCAGTGAACACACAAACCATCCTCAAGATAGATTCAGCGGGAAGGACAGTGGGAAAGGGGACAGCGACTTTAACGACAGTGACTCTGATATCAGCGGCATTGGGCTGAGCAAGAAAGGTGCGCTGAGCCAAAGGCACAATGGTGAGTGAAGTAACTTTATAGATACGTTCTTCCAAATGTGAGGAAACTGTGGGCATATAATGGAATTAGGATAGAGGGCAGCAACTGTCTTGTGTGGCACTAACCTGACCAGCACAGCTCAAATAAAATATCCCCCTCCACCCACCCCCAACCCTCCTTTCATGTACGCCATTTGAAAAGAAACCAGTTTTTTTCCTCCTTATGTAGACAATTTGATTACTAGCTTTGCTAATTGAAAGTAAGGGAGAACTATTTAGTTTCTGGAAAACTATTCAGTTTGGGTCAAGCTGGGTGATGAGGCTCTTTGGCTCATTTTATCTCATCCTCCCAGATTACCCATCCTGCTACCTCTCCATGAAAAGTTTAAACATTTGTTCTCACAGGTTCTCTAGGACTACAATGTCAATCTCTGCTTCCTGACATCTGTAATTAGGTGGGTCACATCAGCACTAAACATATGATTCAGCAATGGGACAAAGAACCAACATTAACTTTTTAGTTAATTGACCCATTATGACATAGTATAATACATTCTTAACCTGAAATTTGCTTTGAGATTGTGCCTTGTAGCCCTCTGATTTACTGCATTATTCATGGTAGCTTCCTGCATTTTCGTAGTAATCCACCATAAAAGCTGAGTATAACTGGGACATTAATAGCTTCACATTGAATGGATTCATTCAATGAATGGATGCATTATCACACCCAGAACCTTTTTTTATTGTGCTCCAATGGGAGCAGGTGCAGGGATATTTCAGCAGATATTTTACATTTACCTCTTCAAATAATCTTCTAAGATTGGTATTGATAGCAGTATGCACAAATCTATTTTGTCCCATAAGAATACCTGTCAAATCAAACTTCAAAATTCAATTTTAACTAGAATTGGCTTTCCACTGGTTCAGTTATAGCTGAAAAAGTGTGAGATTATCACCTCCAGGTTATCTCACAGGGGACAAAAATACTGAGCTCACATTCAGCTATAGTTATACTATTTATGTTTTATTTGCTGTGATGTTAAATTTGCTTTACACAGGGACCAGGGTGTTTATAATAATTGCATAAGCAAACTTGTTTGCAAGTAGTTTTAATCTCGTTTGGGGGGAATCCGGTTAAATTGCACCCATTTTCATGTACAGCAACTCATAGGTCTGCAACACACAAGTTCCAGTCATGCAGACCATTTCATGGTCATGGATGCCTTTGATTTAATTTTAATTCTCTTTGTTGAAATCATTATGTTTTGCTCTATCTGGAAGCATGCTTGAAAGAATACATCCATTAAACATTGTCAAATAAATCAAGAGAAATGGTTTAGGGCAGGCACCTCATGATGATTGTCACCTATGCTGCTGCTTTCAGGATAGTAATGATTGTAGTGAGTTTCAGAGCTTCTGGAAGGGTGAACATGTCACACATTCCAGAAATTGATTGGTAGGATTGGGATGCAATCAGATTAATCCAGCAACCCCCTGCTCCAGAAACTAATATCAACTCATGTGCCCTAAGGGAATGCTACAGCAAGCAGATGGCACCAAGTCTCACTATCTCATTAAGGGAAGTTAATCATTATAAAGGTTTCATAGTCAAACAACTTAACTTTAATTAATACTGTCTAAGGCCGAGGCACTCCACATCACAATCTCTTGTTTTTGCAATATTGCAAATAAAAAATCAATTCTAAGCATCTTCTACAGTACAGATTGTTTATCTCACACAGGTTTGTGGTCCTGTACAAGTGAATGCAAGGTCCTTGGTCACTCAGATCGCTGCTGGAGCCCATCAACTGGGGGATCCAACACCTATTCTTCCACAACTGCTTCCCAACACCTCAATACTTTTGGGAAAAGTACTTCTCTGCCCCGAGATCCACTTCGGAAGGACACATACTACCAGGCACTTTTGCCCAAAACAGCTGGCCTGCAAAGTGTATATCAGAAAGTTTCATCCAAAGAAACTGAAACTGTAACATCTATCATTGTACCATTGTATCAGACTGTGGGATTGAAGGGCCAAACTTCCTAACTTATATCTCAATGATCAATAGAACTAGCACATCACCTCAGCTCTCTCCATGAACAGATTTATTGATTTTTTAAAAACAAATCTATGCTTTGTTGAAAACGTGCAATATGTTCATTCTGTACATAATGACATTACCTTTTTTTATGTTAAACACTGTATAAAATTCAATTGATTTACATGAAACCTATTTCCATACTAAAAGTCTGCTGTGGATAACGTAATGCCCAAATACAATACTTGTAAATGTAAATTAAGGAAATTAGTAAAATGAGATGAAATTACGTTGTGCTTTTCTATTGAAGCAATTGAATGGCTGATTTTATTGTTTGTTAGCTTGTATTTTATACTTTTCATTGTCTTATTGTCTCAATGCATATATTTTATGATTTGTAAATAGACTCACGCAGATACTTTAATAAAAATTGTATTATATCCAATATTCAACACTGTTTAACTTCTCAGAATATTTTCTTTCCCATGCAATATGTTCAGTGATTCTTTTCCAATTATTCAGCGATTGACTATGGAGTCTAAAATGTAAGAGTTTAAGAGACACAACACAAATTCTCAAAGGATCATAAATATCAAACCCATCTGCAGGTCAAAACAAGTCATGGCACACATCCAGTTATGGGTAGAATGTAATTTTCATGATTTTCATAATTTTAGGAAAAGGAGAAAGCCATTTTTAGCTGCTTGAGCTCACCCAACCACAGGCTTTCCCCACAACATTATGATTCTTTGTAAATCTATTCTGCAAATACTACATTATTATTAAACATCTTACAGTACCTTGGGACATCCTCCCGATGTGAAATGTGCTATACAAATGTAATTTTGTTGTTGTTATTGTTATTGTCAATACCTACATCAGAATAACAGTGGCCAAAGTGACTGATTACAATTTGCCACCTAAACATACGCAGACAATTCACCTGCAGGCATCAATTTATAACACTCACAGCTCCACCTTCAATTGAATTAGACAAAAGCTTTTGCTTTAAACCTATATTGGTACTTTTCTCACATATTTATGGGACAGTATTTTCTTAGCCACCGATTTGTTATGTTGGGCAGAGCATGAAAGGATTCACACTGCTATTGGCTAAATTGTGTTTAAAGCTGCAAACTCAGATTTTCATCATTAGAATATAGTTATCGATTTCATTTTAGTCATTACACCAAGGACTTTGAGTATACACACATTTCAGCACTTTACAAACAAGATCTACAATACAAGGGATGATGCTTGTTGCTTTGTACATTATTAGAATGACTTGTCAGGTCAGTACCAATTGAGTTTGGCCAGACTGTCTGGATATGTTTAATCCATGTAATTACACTTAATATATTTTCAGATTCTATTCTTAGCTGTTGCTCTTCTGAGTGTCAATATTCCTGTCAATGATATCCAGCTTGCTGACCTGCAGCAACCTGAGTATTATGATGTTATGGCAACCAATATAAATGTAAATTGTAGTAATCCCATAAAGAGGGCATTGGGTTTCTACAATTCCAATCAATGATAGATTTTAATTTATAAACAAATCCCAGACTTCTGAAGTCAAATAGTCTGATAAGTGAAAAGAATAAATTATGTATACTGACATGTTAGGAGAGATTGTATACACTTCCAGTGGGTATATCGTCAGACACATAGTAGATTTTAGAATATGTTACACATGGAACTGTAATTTCTAATGACAAATTCAACTCCAAGTGTAGCAAAGATGAACTGAGTCAAGAATTGTCTGCTATAAAGCTTATTATTTAAGCAGCAGATTGTACATTAGCTTGGAATTCTATAGATATCAAAATAGTAGATACCTTGAAGTGACGATTAAGTCAAAATTAAAAATAAACAATGGTTTCCCTGAAGTGTCAAATCTTAAATAACAGCATGAAATATAAATGGCTTGTTGCTGTCATTAAATCCTAGAGTTACATGAATCCACCTTTTTCAATACTAAAGAATACTGATTTTACCGGATTAGTTTATTCAAAGTTTTTGCGTGTGGTGAGGGATGGCTGCCATTGAAATCCATTTAGTTGGGGCATGAAAACATGTCATGCATCAGCGATATAGTACACAATGGTATAAAGGAGTTGTAGTTGTGTTCTCATCAATAAGCTTTTGTTGAGAAATGATTTGGAGAAGTTTGTATGTGAGCTATTGGGTATATTTTATATCCTATTCCTGTCTCACTTGCACAGGCTTGCATGTTTAACTGGAGCCAAGTGAGAACAATCCCTGCTACCGATTTGCCCCTCCAAGTGCTACCACCAGGCAAGGCTGGTTGGTCTGTCATCAATAGTGTCATGGAGCACTTTGCACCTGCCTGGTTCAGAATCAGACTACCAAAACCATTACAGCAGATCAAATGAATTCTAATGTTTCTTTGTCAGACTCAGGCACATCTGTTGGAGTCCTAAAAATACCTCATGTCCCCAAGCAGGAGAATCACTAGTTGGTTATTAGACATCTGAGAGCCAACCAACTTAAAACCTTTTTTGCAAATAATAGATGTTACATGTAGCAAATTGGCAGTACCATTGGAAGACTCTCAAACTAAATATGTCTGAAATGCAGCAGAGCTGAGAAGGTGAAATGTTTCTTAACATAGGTATGCTTCCCTTCTCTTGCGGTGGGATGAAGTATTGTTTTCATTCTCCTAGTAAGTAAACTATTTGGTATTGAAAGATTCAAGCCAGAGTTAATTTATTTATTTTATTTGGTTTCAGCAATATTTTGTGAAGCTAAAATTGATGTAAAGCTTGTTTGTTCATCAACTTGATAATGGAGGTTCAGGGGAATCAGAATAGGCATGCAATCCTATCAAATGCTGATGCATGTGATAGTTGCCACCATAGAGGCTTGGTTGAATAAGATGTTTCTCTTGTGGAGTAGACACTTCTCTTTGAAATCTTTTAAATTTTATTTTGGGGAGGTTACACAGCTATGTAGTTAATTTATTTGGAGATTGGCAACCAGGAAGTGGAGTCTTTGTATTTATTTTTTATAATTCATCTAATGCTTCCAATAACCAGACAAGCTGAATCTCATTTTATCTGGTTTCAACATTACTCATTTTACTTACATTACACTAGTCACAATGGGTAGTAAAAGTGTATGCATCACTTTGAATATTACTTGCTCAGATGGCAGGACTTAGCTCTGATACAATGATGGAGCATTTCATATAAAAAGGGTGGAATTGAACTTGAGCGCACTACTGCTGGGATAATGTAGTGGGGAGGGAGGTGGTACTTCTATTTAGAAAGGGATTTTGAACAGTGATTGAAGACACGCCTAAGGATGAAATGGGCGAGTGTGTATGTGTGTGCAGTTTTATACAGTTTTATACCTGTTGCAGCTACGCTTGCAACCAAAGGAATATGGAACGTAGATTGGCACACAGACAGACGCACAATCTTTATCTATACTCATCTGGGAGGACTCCTGTGGGAGAACTTTGCTCTTCAATTTAATTTAATGGGCCTTCTCTCTTTTGTCTAGCATTTTTACTTATCCCTGAAAAGTTTGATTTTCACTTAGGCATCTGTATAATGATCAATATAAATGTATCATTTATAATCACTGGAATGTCCTGCCGACTTAAAAGGCACTTTAAAAATATAATTTTGTTGTTGTTGCCTCCTATGTGTTCTTTATTTTGTTCCGGAGCTTTGCTTTGTGTTTACTCGGTGATGCACAATGCCATAGCACCACAGTCAGCCGCTGCAGCCACGAGGTGTAATTGCAGTGCATGTGTATATATATGTAGGTGCTCTGTGACGCAGGATGCCACAGCCTCACTTTGACTCAACAGCCACCAGGTGTAACTGCAATAAAAAATGCCAAACTGAAATAACTCATGAGCAATAGGAGATACCTGAAAACAAATATGCCATTGTCACCCCTAGGTTCAAGACCTTTTCTGATGAGGTATAAATCATGTCTCTACGTCAATCAGTTATTGAGATCCTTCTTGAAGGGCAGACAGACATTGTCATTTTATTAATATAGAATAATATATATGGAAAAAGATAGGAGAGATAGATGTAGGCAATGAAAGTAACCATGAATACGCATCTCCAGCAAAATTGTATGGGTTTGAATGTTTTTTGGGAAGAGGTGGGAGTACAATTGGAATTTAGTTTGCCTGACCTCTAAGGAGTCTGTGGTGGTAGAGAGCTAGGAGTTGAATGGAAAACAATGATTCTTAATGTTACTATTCATTCATTTCCACATGCCTGAATCTCATGGCTCGATTCCCTATTAATATCCAAGGGTCTGCATCTTTGGCACAGCTGGAATTGACTTGATTAAAGGCATCAGATTACATCCTTACATTGCTGGAGCTTTCATTATTAACTTCAGTGAATTCTGAAAGTAGTCAACTGCTTACAGCAGAATCTAAATGATTACTCCAGGCTTAAGATGCAGGGAATGGATTGTGGAGTTCTATTTAGGATGCAGGTACTGTCCTTTGATGGATGAAAATAATATCACACTTCTGTTGCAAAAATAAAGTAGGAAGAAGGAATGTGGAAAGATTGCAGGCTAATATGAAATATTTAGAGAAGAAATACTTTTTGCACTGCCAGGTTAATATGAGCCCAGTTGAGGAGGGCTAAGCAGGAAATAAATTGCCTTATTACTGAAAAGCTAAGTTATGTTTCAAACACAGTTAAGGTGACTTACTTGAGGGATTCAGTCAGACAGGTTATCAGTGCCATGGAAGAAATTAATTCACATTTTAAGCAGTTTTACAATGTATTATATATGTCAGAATGGAACCATTCTGAAATTAAGCTTGAAACCATTTTGGGGCCATAAATCTTCCAGAAATTTCAAATGAAGATAAAGAATCTTTGAAGAATACTGTCCAAGTAAAAGTGGTTCTCAGGGTTATCCGCAACCATGTGGAGCTGAGTGAAATATATAATCCCTGATATCGGAGAGTACCGCTTCCAATCTCATCACCTCTCAACTCTGGATTTGATGGCAATACCTGGGTTTTCTATTTTTTTAAAAAGTGCTGCAGTCTTGACACATAAATCTCTTTGAGTGTTGAATTCAATGCTCTCAGATTTGGCTGGTGTTAACATTGAGACTGACTAAGATAAGATGTGATACTTAAAGGTGGATGGGCTCTCTGTGATGGCAGTCTGACACCCTATCTATCTCATTATTGGGGTCAAACATTCAGTTTAAATTTAGAAATTCCCAAGGAATCAAATCGATCAAATTATCTGGATGTGCTAGAAGTAGAAGTGAATCTCTCAACACAGGTTTCAGTGTCGATGTCTATGAAACTGGGCCACATATCTGGCTTCTGCCCTGCAGTCAACAGCATTGTTGCTTTACTTTGAGCTTGTTTGGTTTAGCGACAAAGGCACAATTCTGTTACCTCGTGGCTGGAGACTCCAAGCC